TAGGAGGCTAATGGGGGAAATCCCCATCTTTTAGTCTGTCAGTACATATCTAGTGAATAACGCTTTACTCGGTTTAGTTTTGATATGAAACGTTGCGTGACCGACCCTAAGGAGATCTGCGTAGGAGGCTAATAGGGGAATTTCCCATCTTTTAGGCTTTCAGTCCACACCTTTATTGAGTAACGCTTTACTCGGTTTAGTTTGCATATGAATAGCAGTAAGTACAATGTACATCAAAGACTTAAATTGGTAATTAATTAAAATTAATGATGACGATGGATTCTATGTACAAAAATCTCATGCGTAAAGCATCTTATCGTTTGAATCACTAAGTTAATAGCAACAGTGGATGTCTTGTTAAAAGGCAAAAAATGAAATAAAATTAAATAATAAAAAAAAATCTAGAAAGTAGTAATAGTCATTGGTAAATATGAATCGTGAACAGTAGATATATTAATAAATGATACTATTGATTTGTCTAAAGATCGAGGGTCATTTATAGAAAGACCGCGACTGCTAGTCTTCAACTCCCACGATGAATGATATTTTTCATTCTATTGAACATCTAGTATAAAGCCACAGGTTTCAGTTATTATTATTAAATTACTTCAAATGTTAAAAAACTTTACCACGCATCTTCGTTTTTATCTTCATTTCTGCTATGGGCTTCCTGTGGAAGGGCATTGGAGGCACCAATCGCCTATAAACACAGGAAGCCCACAAGCATGGACTTCTGAAGGTACCGTATTCAGTTATATAAGTGTTTGTTCAGTTTTAAGAGAACAAGATCAAATCTTTTGCAGTGATAGCAATGCGTCCCTGGGAGGTCACGCTCATTCCTGTAATAATCGGAACTCCTTGTCTATCAAATTCGATCACTTGTTCTTTTTTACCATCTTTGGCATACACTACAATTTTTGGGCCAGTTTTAGACAGCGAGGCCACAAAGATGGTTTGACTGACAGGGTGAAATGCAATTGCACTAAAATTAGCTGTAATGCTTTTAAACTGGTGAAGAGGATCACCGTTAYTGAAGACTATCACGCCAGCACCACGGTCTAACACAAAGACCTGACCGTTGTCAGCGGCACATATATCAAGAGCATGCTCTATTGTTCCTCTTCCGAAGGACTGCACAAATTTCCCATCACCATCGTATACACAAACGAGATTGTTTTTGTGAAATTTTGTAAACTCACCGCCAGTTATAAACAGTATAGTGTTACTATCGATTGCCATTGACCTTGCTCTAAACCCATCTAACAAAGAGAAACTATACACGAATTTGTTGGATTTGTCATATACGAGCACTTTACTCGCTCCCTTAGAATGATCACTAGTGTTCTTCGCTTGCCCCAAGATGTAGATGTTGTCATGCTTATCTGAAGCTACGCTCCATATTTCAGATATCAATTGGGTTTCAGAGCTCGTCTCATTTGTAAATGGAGTAAGACGGTGAAGGAATTCGCCTCTGCTGTCAAATATTTTGACAGTGTGATCATCGCTGTCTGCTACAATAAACTCCCCCAGTGAATTTGAAGTAATATCCCATGCATGTTTCAGCTTTTGGGCGTCTTCTCCTCTTTGCCCAAACGACCATGATGTAATTCCACAAAGTAACATTCGTGGATCTATTTTCTTTCCTTCAACTTCAACACAAGGCCAGGAAAGGAGCGCTCCACGTCTACCAAAACTCTGCGTCAACTCGCAAATTATTCGATTCAAGTGGTGTACCTGGTCTTGAAAGTCCCTAAATCTTTTTGTGACACAAGGAAGAGAGTGTAGCTCTTTGAGGCACGCCTTGCACGCTGGTATCACATCTATGGGGTGGTCAATGCTTTCCAGTATCGTCGCCAGTACACGGTAGCGCATAGCCATGACACGTTCTGACGAGACGAGAACCTCATTGTTGAAGGCTTTAGTTGCTTTCTTGCGTGCATCTTGAAATCTTTTCTTAGCATTCAATGAACACCTTATACCTCGACTCATCTAAATCTTGCCATTTTATCAAGGAGATTTCTTTTAGAGCAGCAATGAAGGGCTGTAAAATTACTTCTAGATTGGCTTCCTCGTAGGCATCGAGCCTGGTTTCTAGAGGGAGATTTTCGACAGTTGAAGTCTTTATACTGTCTAAGGCTTCATATAAGAACGCGAGTCCTTCATCATAGTATGATATACCTGCAAGGAGCTCCTTCTTGGCATTTTTATGTAATTCTGATTGGATTTCACTTTTCTCTTGTTCGATCTTTCTGCTCAATTCTTCAACTTCCAAACGTACGAGACGCAAGTTTTTTCGGGATTGAGAGCTTGTTGCAGCGTTTGCAGCCTGGCTTACTGTAGTACTAATCACTGCCTTTAGTCCAGCCTCCAAGAGTGTGTGCATTTTTGATCTATAGCGATTCAAATCACTGTACTAGACGTACTAGCTTTGAATAGGACCGACAGTGTTATCAAAAGAACCACGAAACGAAAAGCGGAAGTTCGAGTACACGCATAGCAAATTTTGACGACCAATCAGAGCACGCGTAATATCTCAAATGTTCAAAACAAATCCATATAAAGTAAGTTAACCACCAATCAGAGCACGTGTAATATCTCTAATGTTCAAAACAAATCCATATAAAGTAAGCTAACCACCAATCAGAGCACGTGTAATATCTCAAATGTGCAAAGCAAATCCATGTAAATCAGACTACCAATCAGAGCAAGCGTAATATCTCAAATACGCTTTCAATGAGACAAAAACGAAGCCTATGGGAAACGCATTCAGGGCCTTAAATTAATTTATTTGATTGACTTCCTATCAAAATGAGTCAAGTTGGAAATTGTGCATGTAAACGAGGGTTTCAACCATCTAGTGCACAACTAATAAAAATATCCAGAAAGAGTAGAGTAGAATATAACCAATTCCAACCAATAAAAAGGCCTAAAATCTTATTATCTCTAAAATTAAGATTACATAATAATGTGGAATACCAGAAAAAATACCGATACATCAGAGAGTAACAATTATTTTCGTAGTCCTTATGTCGAAGAGCCAGACCACTTTTCATCGAAGAACAATGCGCAATCTTCAAAAGACACAAATTTTTTTTTTGCTGCTTGGATAGTTAATAAAGATGTAATTTGCGTTTCTTCAAGCATTTTTTTCTCGTAAAAATATATTCTCTGAATTTTTCGGAAAAACAAATTATCGGAATTGTACGGAAAATATATTCTCGGAATTGAATTTTTCGGAAAATATATTCTCGGAATTTCTCGGAAAGAGATTTTCATTTCCTTGATTTAAGCAAAAACTAAATAAATACATAACTAAAAACCAGTTTTTTCTACAAATATTTTAAGAAAACAAATTTACGACCACACACTAAAACCACAGGTGTTTGAATAACTTAGAAGAAATATTTACAGTAAAATTTCAAATATTTGAGTGTAAAACTCACCGTGAATTCTTCTTCTGATGTTCGCTTGGTGTCGTGTGTGCTTTGATATAAAGAAACCTGTAGAAAGTAAGTAGGGAAAATGAATAATTACTCGAAAAATGATAATTAAATTTGCAATAACAAAAAACACCAAAAAATATTGAATGAATCCGACGTACGATTTTTTTCYATCGAATTTAAAAATTGTTGTTTCGGTGAATTCCACTTAACGAGAAATAAGTAATTTTGAATAAAAAATCATCCTGTGTGAGAAGCATTTAATGATAAAAAATATTAAAAATATATACAGTCAATGTCATTAACGTTGTCCACCGAAAAAAATACATTTACACATTCACACATTCACACATTTACACATTTACACATTTACACATTTACACATTTACACATTTACACATTTACACATTTACACATTTACACATTTAGACTAAAGTGAGCCTGAACTTTAAATGTGAAATTCAACTCGTGAATCGAAAATCCAGAATGCCCCGACCATTTAGTCAGGATTTAAGATGGAGAATTGTATTTCAGCGTTTGTTTTATGCCAGAACGTTCGAGGAAACACGTAATATTTCTTCTAGTCTAAATGTGTAAATGTGTATATGTGTAAATGTGTAAATGTCTTTTTTCGGTGGACAACGTTAATGACATCGACTGTATAAAAAGAGAGAGAGAGAGAGATAATTATTCGCTACGAAACGAGGAATTAGTGAATGACAAAGCTACTGAAAGGCATACCTCGATAATAATATAAATACGAACAGAAACCAGTCGAAACTTAAAGACAAACACAATATCAGAAAAATGTATGCCAAAGATGAGCTCAGCAAGTTTCTTCCTTATAGACACGCTGCTCCGCAGCTAAGCTTATGGAGAGCGATTTGTCTCTAGATGTGTTGGGAGGAAGCCAGAAAGGAGGCGTGAATGAATGAATATCTTTTATTTATGTGAACTGGTGATGATAAATATTGTGAATGTCTACGGTACAGTATAATTAATTACTTACTATTAGAAGTAAAAGGAGTTTAACGTTATCAAAGTAATCGGTTTATTCTTTTATTTATTTCTCGTCTTTGTTTTCTCTTTTCATCTGTGTTCCTCTCCTCTTCCTTTCTCTATTTCTTTCCCACTTTTTGTTGGTCTTTCCTTCCTTCCTTTCTTTTCCCTTTTTTGTTCCCTTCTTTGTTCCCTTCTTCCCTTCTCATTTTCATCCCACTTTTGTTGGTCTTTCCTCCCTTTCTTTTTCCCCTTCTTTGTTCCCTTCTTCCCTTCTTCCCTTCTCATTTTCATCCCACTTTTATTGGTCTTTCCTTCCTTTCTTTTTCCCCTTCTTTGTTCCCTTCTTCCCTTCTCATTTTCATCCCACTTTTATTGGTCTTTCCTTCCTTCCTTCCTTTTCCCTTTCTTTGTTCCCTTCTTCCCTTTTCATTTTCATCCCCTTTCGTTGGTCTATCCTTCCTTCCTTCCTTCCTTTTTCCTTTCTTTGTTCCCTTCTTTATATCTTTTTCATGTCTTCTCTCCATTTGTTCTTTTCTTCTGTCCTCGTCCTTCGTTCATGATATTTTAATTTCTCCGTCCTAGGATAGTTTCTAATATAGTCTATTGCACGTCTACAGGTACCATTCATGACAATATGCAAACAAAAATTGAGAGGAAGAGGGGGAGGGAGGTTTTTTTCTGAGGAGAAATATTTTACATTTCCGAGAAAAAGAGGCTAGCTTGCTGCTTGTGGAGAAATTGAAGCCAATTCCACACCCTCCCCACCCCTAACATGATATCTTACCTGGATAGGTGTGTCCAAGTCAATCTCATCATAGTGGAAGTGAGGCATGTCCTCGATTCTAGGGAACCTAGACCTCCCATCGTATAGCCTATTGGATCAACCAATAAAAAAGTACATCTTAGATAGAGCTGTGGAGTAACATGCATTCTGATTGGCTAGAACATTGATCTTTTTTCCACATAATTTTTGAAAGGACAAATAATAGATGAATGGAATGTGGTTGCATGGGTAGATGAAACGCATATTGGTGTAAATGAGTGGGATGAAATGCATATTGGTGTGAATGAGCGGGATGAAATGCATATTGGGGTAAATGAGTAGGATGAAATGCATATTGGGGTAAATGAGCAGGATGAAATGCATATTGGGGTAAATGAGCAGGATGAAATGCATATTGGGGTAAATGAGTGGGATGAAATGCATGTTGGGATAAATGAGCAGGATGAAATGCATATTGGGGTAAATNTGGGATGAAATGCATGTTGGGATAAATGAGCAGGATGAAATGCATATTGGGGTAAATGAGTGGGATGAAATGCATGTTGGGATAAATGAGCAGGACGAAATGCATATTTGGGTAAATGAGCGGGATGAAATGCATATTGGGGTAAATGAGCAGGACGAAATGCATATTGGGGTAAATGAGCGGGATGAAATGCATATTGGGGTAAATGAGCGGGATGAAATGCATATWKSGGTAAATGAGCGGAATGAAATGCATATTGGGGTAAAAGAGCAGGACGAAATGCATATTGGGGTAAATGAGCGGGATGAAATGCATAATGGGGTAAATGAGCAGGATGAAATGCATATTGGGGTAAATGAGCAGGATCCGAGAACGATGTCCGAACTTTTTGGTGACCGTAACACAATTCAAGCTAGCGCCGAAAASGTGAATTGCGTCACTGCTATCAAGCACTTGTTAGCAATGTCATAAATATTATTTTTTTCATTTATTGGCCTGGAAAACCATAATTTCACTTTAGTTCTGCAAATTTTCAGGATTTTGATTGGCTAACATTTTTTCTTGCATTGGCTGGATGGATCAAAGAGAAGAAAGGAAGGAATATATCTGGATGGATAGCTGTCAGGATGTATACTGTAGAATAGTGTGGATGTCTTTAGCACGTTATGTCATGAGTTGTGATGATGATGATATCTTGGGATCCTGGGCTTGGTTGAACGAAGGAAGGATAGTGCTATCTCATGCGTAAATCCTTATCCAGTGGATAAGTCAATGGTGTCATTCCAATAAATTTTTCCACTGGATAAGATTTATCTGTCAGATAGCTCTATCCACCCTCCATGCCACCGGGCTCTGGTTATAACCCTGGGCTYATACAATGCAAGCTCGTAATCAGGGGGAAGGGCGAGGCGCAAGGAGGGAGATGAGGCTTATAAGGGAGAGGGGGAAAACATCTGAAATCTATTCTATTAAAATTGTTTTTAAATGGTGTCTATTTCAATTCATCAACAATGTTCATGCAGCGACAACTGTGAAAGCTTTATAAAGAGAATGTGCTCAAGAAACAATAATCTGAGAGGATTGCCATTCTACGTGGCTGGACAGCGTTACTTCATCAATAGAGGGGAGTTGTAATCAGGGAGCTCGTAACCGCAAACTGGGACGAAATTTTCTGTTYGCGGACAGGTGGGCTTGAAGGGGTGGAGTGGGGGTGCTTACACAACCAGGATTCTACAGTATACAGTGCAAATATACATGTATGTATTTGTGGATGAAATACTTTATGGATGTTAATGAGAAAATCAAGTACCATCAGGAGATAGGAGATGAGTAAATCAGTACAATCAGGAGATGGGAAAATGCACAATTTTCCACTAACCTGCTCAGCCTCATGAATGTCCCACTTTTTTCACAGTTTGCACTCAGGTCTCCCTGTAAGATGTTCAAATTAAAATGGAATATTGAAGGTTGATATTTTGCAGGAGAGGACAAAGAAACTCTACAGCTATAATGGTGGGTCTACGGCCCTTGTAGGAAGGTTCAGTTTGTTGGAAAAGCATTGGTTGTGTGCGCTGCTAATCAGCTCACTCTCACTGTTGTGTTCAAGTAGGTTTAATCCCAGACTCGCCATCATATAATGTGATTAAAGTTGCTCGTAATGGTCTTCTCCTGTGCTTCGAGGGTTTTTTTCTCTGGGTTCTCCAGTTTTCCTACCTCCGTAAAATCAAAATCTTCTTTGATCATGGAGTGGGTGCCACAGGTTTGTTAGCCAGTCTGGCTATTATAGTGCTAGTCTTACAAAAATGACACCATCCCTGGAAATGTTAACATATAAAACTAGGCATACAGTATGATATAGTTTACTATCCAAATTCTATTTCATTATCAGACCGGGAAATTGTTGTATTTAGCCGGTAAAGTTTGGCCCTTTGAGTCTGCCATTACATGTATGTGATTGCATTCCTGGCAACTTATTAGTGATGCAAAGAAAGTGACGTCATATGCACAATGCTTCAAAATTCGTGGCTTCTCTCACTGTGTAATTGCAAAATAATTCATTTAAGGACGGTGCCTACTAATTGAGAATCAATTATTTTTTTAAATGACTATGTGAATTATTTTAACCTATCAAAGGGTTGTCAAATTCTGGTTAGAAAAGTAGGGGTCACCA